TGCAAGTTTCAAGTGGATAAGCATTAAGCAAATTTTAAGGGAGAAGACTTCCTTACAAAGTTTGTTCCAGAATTCTTTTGTGTGCACGACACTATCAGCAAAAAAAAAGGCTAAAAGTCAACGGTAAGTCCTAGCTACTTCCAACTTGCACCCTAATACATTGAAATTTATTGGGCTACCTAGAGCTTGTGTTTTTAATTCGAAATAAATTCAACGAATTTTTATAAATCTTGTGGAAAGTTTTAAATTTTCACTTTCATGGCTTTTGTTAGATAGTGACTTATATTTAATAGAAAAATAATAAACAAAATCATGTCCAGTCTTACTGTAATAGATTTTCACGGCTTTTGTTATTTTCAACTAACCCAATTGGATGCAATTTTATAAAGTTTTCCCTTGATAATTTAAGGTCGCCTAAATCCCTATCAGAACCAGGGTACTCATGAGCTTTCAATATTTTAAAACTTTTCTGAAAAGTGAAACAAAATTATCAGTTTCATAACTGGCACCTAAGATACTCGTACACGTTAGACTGGTTCAAAAAATCGACTATCCTTTTTATCCGGATCCCTTGTGAAATTTTTTGGGACTGTTAATATTAAGATTTCGAGGCTGTTCAGGAGAACAAAATTTTTCAATTCTGAAACGTCGTAACTCGCTTCTTAAGTCAACATATCGGAATGAACGACATATAATTTTAAGGGAAATTGAAGACTTTAAAAAAGTCTACAATAATTTTTGCATAAATTCATTCCTCAAAGAGTTATTCTAGGCAGAGAATGAAAACAAACAATAGCAACTGTATCGGTATCGTTGCGGCAATGGGTAGTGTACGTTCGGTTTTTTTTCGTACTCTGATTCAATGGTAAATTTGAACATATTCCTATATAGTCAAAAGGCATACTACAATTAAATAGGCTATACAATTTGTTTTTTACGGTCTTCAATTTTTCTCAAAAATATATATCGCTTTTTCTGATACGTTGATTTAAAAACGAGTTATGAAAATGTTACATAGATCTGTGGAAAACGGAAATTCATGATGAACCAGCTCTAAATCTTTTTTTACTGTCCCGAAAACATTTATTTAAAAGAGGAATTTGAAAAAAAAGATATTCGATTTTTTTGAACCAGTCTATATAGTGCTCATATAGCCGTAGTTGTGCATGTAACGTATAAGCCTACACAAGGTCACCTTACACGTTTACTCGCACGCCTTACCTTAAAAGTATATTACATATTTAAAAGTAATTAAATGTTGGCATGGAATATTTTTCTACACTATTCTTCACGAATATTGTATACATTTATTAATATCTTCATGTACGTACAAATATAAAAATTTCAGAATGAATTTTGAGTGTGCCAATAAAAATTGTAAAATTGGAATTTCTGTTTCGCAAATCATCGTCTTCTTATAATCAATGTATGTAAGGTTCTTTTAATTTTGTGGCACACTAGTTTTATTACTCTAGATTGGTTCGTTTTGGCAAGAAAAACATTTTCACCGTTTAATGTTGTCATTTTGAAGTATTGTAAACTTTTAAAATTAAAAAATCGTTAAATTTCAAAAATTACAAAATATATGCCAAGGCACATAAATACAGGTAGAAGCCAAAATGACGTTGCTCTCATGAGAACCAAACCTTTAAACTTCAACTTGTTTTTCATTTATTTCCTATATTTCGTTACGCTTTGAATGTCATATCGTTGTTTTTTTTTTGAATGTTCGTTAATAACAAATTTTAATTAACATTTGAATTTTTGTAGTGTTGTGCAGTTTATACTTAATGTATGTGTTAAAAATGCAACACCGAAGCGTTGTTTTTTATGTGGTGTTAAATATGAAGCAGATACCATTTAACGTGCCTCAATGTCCTTCGCGTAAAGAGCGTTGCGAAAGCAGCTGTGGGCCAGAGCTGCAGCGAAATGCCTTGCTGTGCGTTAAACATTTTAAAACAGCAGATTTCATAAATGCACCGGGAGGTACAGGAAAGGCACGTTTGATGCCAAGTGCTGTTCCTATGACCCTTATGCCGGAAAGTCCCTCCAACAACACTGCAACTCATAAATTAAAAACATAAAACAACATACAAATTAACAAATTTTAACTAAAGAAAAATAAATAAATAGAAACAAAACTTCAAATTTACTCAAAAACGTCAACCAGCGAAATGTAATTTTTTATTTTTCCTTACACACGCTCATTTTTATTTTTACTCTCCCGAAAACTTTGACTTTGTAGGTTTGATGTCAATTTGGCTTCTACCTGTTTTTATTGTACCATGATATATGCGATATATATTCTGGTTGCTGCCATTTTTTTTTTTAATTTGGTGGCACAATATTGAAAGTTCACAGATAACTTGCCAAACTTATAAAAAAAAAACAATTATGATTTTTTCGAGTCACAATGAAAAAATGAGTTATTTCGGTACTTTTTCGCCTAAATAACTGTTTTAGGGTTAAAGTTGTTCAAATACTTGCATTATTATGCTTTTTATTGTACTTGCATCGGGAACTACTTTGATTGAAATAAATGCAAGAATAATGGTTTAGCGTTTTTTTTTCTGCCGAGAGAAGGGAGTAATGATGACTCGTGAGATTTACTTATATACATACTAGGAAGGTTAATCCCGGGATACCGGCCTTATAAAGGTCCCAAACTATCCCGGGATTCTTGGCAAATAATCCCGGGGTTTGCGGGATTTGTAATTTGCACTGATGGCAATAATAGTAACTCCTTTTCCTCACCAGTATTGGCTATATATCTTTTTTTTATTTAATATTTAATGTTTTTTTTTTACAAATGTCTAGGTCATTATACAATAACACCGAGTGATTGTGTAGTTTAAACACAACTATCAATATATTCGCGAAACCATGGGCCAAATATAGTAAAATTGCGTTTTTAGTTTTTAACTCTGATGTCCGTAATTCAAAAATGATTTAAAAAATTCAGAGAAATGTGCTTAGAGAAGAAGTATGGGTATGTATTGAAAATGTCCTTTTAAAATTTTATCCTTGAAATTTCGTAAAATTGGTTTTTGAAAAAATTATATATATACATATATATATATAAACTTGATCAGCTTAAAAAACACCTATTCGTCCTTGTGAATGCTAAAATATTAATTTTTTTAAATTCTAAAGAAATTTCCTTATTACATATTTTTATTCTACATTGCATTGAATTTTTTTAACAATTTTTGGAATTAATCATATCTTTGAAATTACAAAGTCCTTCAAAATAAATCCTGCGGTCAGAGAGCAAAAAATAAAAAAGCCACTTTAAATAAAATAGTTCGTTTCAAACCCATTTATTTATTATTTATTTTATCGTAGGAGAGCTTCTCAAACAATATATTATATTGTTTAATAAAATCAGACTCCCTGAGGAAGACGCGAAATGCGTTGAAACGCGTAGGAGGAAAAAAGAAAACAATCTTTCGTTTTTCTTCTTATCGGCCGAAGCAGCTCCAACCCAGCAAACAATCAATAAGGAATTTGGCCCAAATAAAAGCAAAATATAGAAGCAGTTTTTTCGATTTAAGTTATTGAAAAGTAATGAATATCTAAATCCCGGCGCTAATCCCGAGATCCCGGGATTACGATAACGACCTCCCGAAAATACGGAGATCGGAAAAGTCTGAAAAATTAACATCCCTAATACATACATACATATATGTACACTATTCTACCAAAGAAAGGGTAAGTTTATTGCTTGCTTTCTTTATGGATGCTTTTAGAGAAAGTCAAGATATTCCCCCTGATAAAATTTTATCTTTTAATTTAGAATTTTCACACATCTCTATATATCCTTCACTCCCAAGTAGTAGACTAAAGAATAGCTCGTATATTAGGGGAAATTTCAACAAATTTACCTAAATTTATTCACGCGCACTCTGTGAAAAGCTGCATACAAAACACTTGCTCTTAGGAGTCAACTGGGAGGGAAAAGCAGAGATATTTTTGTAGGTGCTTGCGCGTAGTATGCATAAGTATGTATGTATAGGAACGAAAGGTAAAGCACGAAAAAAACACTTATAAAAAGGTAAACATATACGGTGATTACAATAATCCATCAACCAACGAGAGATACTCTCAACGCACACCTTTACCGCAATTTACAATCACTTTGCGGCACCTTTGCTATTATTATCTCCATCACTTGTGTATGTAAAGGGGAAATTTCATTGCTTTTTACCTGTGTGTGTGTGTGTTTTATTATAATTTTTTTCTCTTTTTCAAAACTCAACTATGCTGCAGCATTTGAGAGAAAATCTGTGAAAAATGAAACGAACGGTGAGCCAGATAAGCGCTGCTTGAGAAATTGCTTGAAACATGTGTTCCTTTGGAGGGAAAATTCGCTCAAATATGTTAATATAATCCACAATATGAATCGCTTTCGCTTTATGAGATTTCGTTTTACAAATACCTGCCTACCTACAGTGTAGTGGAGCGTATTATTAACTTCGCTTTGCAAACAGAACGCGCACACTGATATGTGCACATATGTATGCTGACATGTACACCTACACACATTTCTATGTATGTAGTTACATAAATGGAAGGCAATATTTACATACATAAGAGGATCTTATAGATTTTTCAATGCACGCTGCGCTTCCTCTCGGTTGCAAGCACTCCGCTGTTCAAACACTTTATTCACAAGCAATTTTGTGGATTGCATGTAATGCCTCGATTTTCTTCGACTTTAGCAGGCGACACACATAAACACTACAACAATAATAATAATAATAAAAGCAAAGAAAGCGATGCTGTCTCATGCTTAATCGACCAACAAGAATAGGAAGCAAGTTTTCGCTCACTGTAACTATTGTGTTTTCTTTTCATATGTATGTAAGTACTACATCCAAATCACGTTTGCCTTGCCAAATTTGTCAATAATCCGTTTGAAGAGCACATATTATGCCACCTGCATACACACACCCCAACCCCACCCGGCCATCACCCCAACGCTTTGAACAATATCTCACCTGAATTCTCGTTCGGTGACTGCGACGAAAATTGGCTGCCATTTATCGTTTTCATCAGAACTCTCCGAGCTGGAACGTCCGCTTGGCTGTGGTGCATGGCACATGACCGTTGCGTGTTGCATGTTGCAATGTCACCACCATCATAAGAACAAATAAAAGCGAGAGGCAGACGAGGTAAAAGTAGCAGCATACCGGAAAAGAATTGTAAATAAAGCGATTTCATTAAAAAATTCAATGTTATAAGAAGAAGAGAAAGCGTAAAAACCGACAGAAACAAACAAAAAAGATAGCGACCGAGAGCTTCAGCCTGCCAAGCAGCCAATCTGCCTGCCTTCTCTTGACCACTCACCAAATCTCCCGCGCCGCCTCCACCACTAGCACTTGCACCACTGCCACCGCCACCACCACCGCTACCAGAACTTCCTCCGCCAGCGCCACCGCCCCCACTGGTACTGCCGCCACTCAGGCGTCTACTCAGCCAGCCGATGTGTTTCAGCTCCCCGATGACGTTCATCAGCGCGCGATTGGCATCGGTGAGGGCGCGCTGTGTGCTGCCACACATTGCTGAGTGCAGCGCATTGAACCAGATCAATGCCTCGGCGGAGTCGCAGGCGCGCAGAATGCACGAGTGCACACCGTCCGGTGAATGCAATTCGATGCAGCGGTTTTCTGCAAATAAACGAGAAAAATAAAAACAAAAAGCTCAATAACAACAGTGGTAATCATGGAAATGGCAAACATTATTTAAGCGTAATAAAAGCGAAGATTAAAAAGGAAAGTAGCGATTAAAAAAATAATTCACCAGTCGAAAGCAGTTGAGGAGGAGAAGCTTAAGTAAGCAATTTTGTGGACAATGTGAGGATGTGGCTACATATAAATGTATAGTGAGTGGCGTAATTAAGGCAATGGATTCGAATTATCATTAGCGCTTTTCTTTTATCAGCTTGCGCACATGTACATAAATATATGTATACTAGCAGACCCGGCGAACTTCGTCCCGCCCAAAAATAGATTTTTAGTTTAAACATTTTGGTCCAACAATTCACGTTTACGATTTCCATTGGCACATTCATCGGCTAAGATTATGGTTTGGTGGCGTTTGCCGCCTTAAATAACCTAACGAAAGTGTTATGTCCATGAAGAAAAATCAACAAACTTTTGAAAAAATTTCGAACTTTTTAATTCAATTTTTAAGAAATATTTTGAGTAAGCAGTTGTTTAGCCCATTCAATTATACTGCAAGCTTAAAGTAACAGATTTTTAGAATTTTTTTTGTTGACTATATTAGCCATTTTATTTTATACAAAACATTTTCAATGATTTTTTTCTGTTATATGGAGAAAATGAGCAACACTTCGATGAAAAAAATTGCCAAAAATCAATGGTACTTGAAATTGGGGTACAAAACACTGCATACTCAAAATGTTTCTAAAAAGTCTAATTAAGAGTTCGAAATTTTTACAAGTTTGTTGATTTCTTTTTTAATTTTGTACAAAGATTGAAACTTGGATTTATATGGTTTCTGTTAAAAATATGCTATACCTTTAAAAAGCAATAATTAAAATTAAATTTTTTTTAAATGAATGGTGAAATCTTGCCAATATGTGAGTATCGTAAAGTTATGATAAGAACTATATGTCTGCATGTCGAATCAAACTTTTTGATACTACCTTTTCTCTATTTCCGTGGTGAATGTAGAAAATTTCATATTCAACTGTGTAACCGGACATTCGTAGGGGCATAGCAGCAAAATGCGTAGCGCTTGCCGCGTTAGTTACCGATATCGCTAAGGAATTATACTATTTGGACAATGTTCTTCCTCGGAGAGCGGATAGATGAAATTTTCGGGCTAATTATTGTGCATCTAGCGCCGCAGGTTATTATCGAAGGTAATATTTGTTCCGCTATTGCATAATATTTAGCTCGATCTCCGAGAAAGATTGCCGAAATATACATTATATAAACATTTTTGAGTTATAGAGATATAATACGCTACAAAAAGACGCTATCACTTTGGAAGGAGAGTATAAAGTGTGGTCAGAACGATGAAGAAATGAGGCAAGCGAGAAGCCATACATAAAATGAGCAGCAGAAGTTCTTGGTAAATTGGACGACGAATATGCTTTTTCGTCGATTAACAAACTGCTCCGCACTCTGACTACACTTCTAGCTAGTAATGCTACTTCAGAAAGAAGTTACCCTTCGCCGGTTAAAAACGTGGTTCCATAGTACCATGAATGCTATAAACTAAGATTAGCCAATAAAATGTCAGTCAGCTGTTCATTTTAAAATCAGTTTACGTAATCTTAGTTTAAACTGCCAATGAAACTGGCCCTTAGATATTCAAATTGACTCTGAACGGATAATACAAAGATTCCCAACAAGAAAGCGCAAAATTGAGTTTGCAATTTAAATTATTATAATCGAAATTCCGAATAAGTTGTTAAGTTACTTAATTACATCCCCCATTTGACAAACACATTAAAAGAAAAAAATAAGTATTTTATGTAATATACACAAATATATACTGCTTTAATAAACCCAGAGCGTAACTTTTTATCTTGTGCTTTTTTACAAAAAAAAGTATAATTGTTTTATTACATGGGACTCTGTAAATGGACCTTGCGCCAAATTCACAACATGAAACTTACTTAAAGTAAAATTATATCACAAAACATTTTAATTCGGACTTCATAAAAATTACTAGAACCTCTATTTGCGTGAAAAATAAATGAGGGTTCAAGCAGGTTGGATGCTTGTAGGTCATATAGCTTCGATTGGTCTCACCGCTGTGAATCAAGTTAGATGCCTGTAATTTAACGTTATTCGACAAGTCGATCCCAATCGTTGTTAACCCTCTAAGAGCCACTTTTAAAAAATAAAAAAAATAAAAATCTATTTAAATGAAACTTATATCAAATGAAAGATGAGTTAGTGTAGATGTGCCGAGTTTAATTTTTAACCCTCTAAGAGCCACTTTGAGCAAAATATTCAAAAGCACCTATTTACAGTCCCGATTGGAACAAGTTCAGCCCGATTGTCAGTTAGAGAAGCAACATGACAACCACCTAACAATATTAGTGGGCTAGACGAACAAGAGGTGTTGATGGACCTTAAAAACGTCACAAGCAAAATAAAAAATTTTTGTCGTGCGCCTTGAAGTCGTCACAAAAAGGGGAGGGACCTACAGTTTTACGTTTCTATGATAAGCTGTTTTTCATGGCAGAAATACACTCGGAGGTTTGCCATTGCCTGCCGAGGGCCAACCACTGTTAACCAAAAACCTTTTTTTCAACAAATTTTGCGATGTTGCTTTGACCAGAGCTTGAACCCAGGCCCTGTGGAGTGAAAAGGCGCACTGCTTACCACTACACCACAGCGGTCGCCGTTTCATTGGAAAAATAATAAAAAAAAATTGGTATAAATTTCAGATTTATTCCAAAAATTTTCCACACATTGACAATATGCTCACAAAACCTCTTATTTCGCTAATAGTACAAATATTATCTTTTCAAAGGCCACATAAAAACTCCGGTCGAAACCGGAAGTCGGTAATACGAATTCATATTTTTTCGAATAAAAATATTTTTCCTCATTTAAGAAGTCCAGGACGAGTTAAAGTTCGAATATAATTTAGAGGTTGAAAAAGGCACTTCCGAGAATAAAGTTTCAAACAAAAGTTACGTTTCTATCCTTAATTCCGGGAGAAACCGGAAGTCGGTAATACTACGAAAATATAGAGCATCCCCGGTTTAGTGGGTAAAATTTTAGCGGTTTTCAATAAAAACCTTTTCTCTCTATTTTAGAGGGGGGGACACCCTGTATATTTTTTACTTTCCACCTGAATCATTGCTGCTATCTTTTCATATAATAATCACTAGCTTCGCCACCGAGCTGCATCATTTAGACATTCAATATGCCATGCATTTTTAATAAAGTAATATCAACCGAAAAAGTGCTAGAATTTTTTAATATGCAAGATTGCACCGCCACAGCTCCTTCATACGACATGGTGTACCCAAATACCGACGAGCAAACAAAATACAGTTCATCATTGATGAGCAAAGAGACAGCAAAACGTAGTTGCTGAAATTTGTGCGTAAAGTACAAAAATATATGGTTGAAAAAGTACTTTGATTAAATTTGGTTGCCGCATAGAAAGGCCGGAAGGGATGCAACAGAAGCGAAGAGCAAGAAGAATTGTGTTTACAGGACAAAGTTGTGCTTTTTTTCGACGGCGGCTGCTGGCTGGCTTTGCGCCACAAATGCAAATTTTCGCGCTTCAAAATTGTTTTTCTCCTTCTACTTTAAATTTTTGATGAAGAGAAAGAAAAAAAAGTTAGGCAGCGCGCGAAAATCCCTACCTCAATTTTTTTCCACAACAGTCCAGCTGTCATTACCGCCCGCCCCAACTAAGTACGCGACTTTAACGCGGAGCGCTGAGGAAGGGATGGCAAAAATGGCGAGCGCATAATGAAGTAGCGAGTGGCGAAATTGTGATTTTTTTATTGTTCGTTTTTTCTTCTCTCTCTTTTCCTGTTGGTGTTGTTGTTTTTGTTTTTTTTTAATTTATATGAAAATTAGTGAAGCGGACAGCACAGTAAATAAAAGCAACAACAAATGGGCGGCACTGCTACCTTAAAGCATAAGCACACGCGCGCATGCATACAGAAAATGTACACTTAGCGCCAGGCGCCAGGCGTTGAAGCCTGCCACACCTACAATTTTAGCGGCATAATCGCACTTTTGTGGTTATTTTGGTTGTAAAGTTTGGCTTTAAGTGCAGACGCAAATATACAACGGAAATTTGCCATCCCTGCCGCTACTGCGGCATTTTTTTATTTTTGTTGCCGCCGTGTGTGTAGTAAATTACAAACTTTCTGCAGTTTACATTCGCTATCTTCTTGCGCGCACACGCCGTTCGTTCTTCATTGCTCTTCGTTGCTGCTTAGGTAAATATCTGGCAAAATTGTTTGCAATTTTTCGTTGGCTTTCTTTTTGTTTCTTGTTTTTACTTCCCGTTGCTTCGCTGGCTTGCTTCATTACCGCTTTGTGCACCCTTCGCCATTTATTTCTAATTAAACAGTTTTTACGCGCAACAACTTTGTTGCATAATTTCGCTTTACGCTGGCTATTCACTATTTCTGAGTGAGTGTGTATGTCTGTTAGTGTGTGTGTATATTATACAAGTAATCATTTCAAGTACAACACGTTTTACTCTGGGACTTTTTGTCCTCTTTAACTATAGTATTTATCTTTTAGCACCTTATTCTGGAGTTTTTCTAATTCTTGGTGCAATCAAAAATTTCTGTTGAAATTCGTAAAAAAAGGTAGCAATAAGGCACTCTGAAATAATGCATATTAGAAAAACGTGCATGCACAGTTTCGGTTTTTCGGGTTTTTCTCTCTGATGTCAGGATTTATTTTTAAAGGACTTTGAAATTTCTAGAATATGATAGAATAAAATAATTACTCAAAAGATTCGGTGCATTGCAGAATAGCAATATATGTAAGTATCAATTAAAAGGAAAAATTCTGAAGATTAGGAAAAAATAAATTTTTGGGTGCACTAGGACGAATAAGTATTGAAAATATCCTTTGAATACTTTATCCTTGAATATCCTTGGAAATTTGCCAATATTTATTTTTGAAAATATATGTCAAACGTT